CAGGTCAACCAACCCAGGTTTGAGACCAAAAGTACCCTGCACAATGCGAGACTATGTCCTTTGCATCTGGACTTCCCAGATTCACTTGCTGGCCCCTGCAGGGAAAAGATTACACAGTGACTGATGGGAAAGACCCTGCTAACAGTCAGCTTAGACATTAGGAAGCTAAATAGATAAATAGCCTGGACTAATATTAGGAAGCAGTGTCCAGTCCAGGGCTTTGGCTGCAGGCACTGAGCTATGGATGCCTCCTTCTCCAGGGAATTTCCAAACTATTCCACTTGATTTTCCACTTTCATTTAAAAAAAATAGTATTGACTGTACAATTTCCGAGGAGAAACATAATGGAATATTTAGCCCAATTGTTCAATAAAAAGTGATTCTGACCATGTAGTGCAAGGCACTTAGGCAACTGACAAACATTCACTGTAAGTGCTATAAAATTTAAATCCATTAATTATATTATTATTATTTATTAGGCTACCTTTGTTTTGCTGTTCTTGCTTTTCTGCAATGATTCACTGATGGCTCTCTTCATTAAAATTTTTGGGGTTTATATTTCTACAAACAAGAGGCAAGCTTGGTCTTTGTGTGTGTGTACTCATTGTAGGATGCACACGTCTCCATGTCCATGTTTTGTCTGATTCTTTCCCTATAGTTTTCCTTCTGTATAATTCTTGGGTCCACACCTACATTCAGAAGGTGTGGCATTTACCTATATTAATACACAAAGGAAAAAAGCACCAGTAAAAGGCAAATCAGACTAACACACCTGTCTCTGACCCTGTCTTTTTTTTAACTCTCAGAGAAAAATGAACAGAGGATAATGCTAAGGTGAATTTGACCAGTCGCCCAAGAGGTATCTTAATCCAAGCATGCATTGCTATGATTATATCTCTCTGTATGTCATCCCATTACACCATGGTGGCAAAGAGAGGGATTCTTCTTTGCCTTTTAAATCCTCCTTTAATGAAAACTCTCAGAGCAGCTGCCCCGCAAATCATGGACGTTTATCATGGGCGCTCCTAATAGCAACCAGAATTCATTTACACCAAGCAGATCTTTCCTCCATCTTTCACCTTCTAATTAAAAGGAGAGGAAATTAAAGCACAGGAAAAATGCTGCTGTCAGCTTCAGTCATCGCATGAAGTTCACTGGTGCTCATTTTGTTTTTTCTTTGCAGCTGGAAAGGTAGACGGAGGTTGGATGCTTTCTTGGCTTCCTTTTAATGCCACGCATGAAGCGAATTGACTTATATGCCACCTTGTATTTAGATCTTTCCCCAGCTGGTTTTGGATTATCTGTACCTTGACTGATAGCTCTCCAACGTCTCAGCAGGATTATGTGCTTGTCTGTCTGTCTGTCTGTCTAATGCATTCAATAATGTATATTTTCTGGGTAGACTGTGAAAGCATAGAACAAATACAAAGCAGACTTACAGAAGGATGGACATTTTTTCCTACATTCTTATTTTTTCTAAATCTCAAGTTCTTTCCACCCTTTTTAGGAAGAAATGTAACTTTTTAATACAAAAAAAAAAAAAAATCCAAGCAAATTCTTTCCCATCTGCAGCATCCCAAAGCATTGGGAACTGCTACACCAAACACAAAAGGAGCCATGTTTTGCCTCTCTGTCATAAAGCTGCTGAAGACGATACTGCTGGAGCCTAGCATCATGCCATGGCGCTGAGCACCAGGGGCTTCCCAACTGAATTTGAAGCACGGGATGTAGTGATGGCCACCAGCTTGGATGGCTTGGAAAGGGGATGAGACAAATCTGTAGGCGATAAGGTTGTCAGTGCCTGCTATTCATGATGTTACCGCCAGAGGCAGTTGTTCAAGAGCACTGGAAGAAGAGTGCTACTGCACCCACGTCCCCCTTCTAGGTAGGGATGTATGAGGAATCTGTTTTGGAGCTGAAAAAATGCCAGATTCCTGGGACTCAGCTCCCCAGGCTCTGGCCCGCTTTCGTAGGGTCATGAGCCCAACTTCCCAGTGTGAGGGCTGGTCCCAGCATTCTGCCCTACCTTGCTGCCACGTATTGAGCAAATAGCCACCTGTTCAGCAGCCTCATCATTAGGCTGTGGGGTGGCTATTTGCTCAGTGGTCCCAGAGTCATGCTGCAGAGGGGCCGTTAGGTTACTGGGTCCCAAGTGTAAGTCCCCTTGTTCCAATGTCTGATTCTCATTGTGCACATTTGACTCTTTCTTGCGAGTCGACGTCTCTGTCGAGCCGTCAGGAACGACCCAAATGTCCGTAAGTGCTTACGGAAAGCAATCCGAATCAAAATTCTCACCCGTCTTCACTAGCCAAGTTCACGCAGCTGTTAAAACTGACATGTCTCTCAAGCAATAGGACTGGCAACCCCACATGAGCACCATAAACATGGCTGAATGCACTGGGATTCATAGACTCCCTCCTTTGTATTCCCCCACCCCATTTCTCCCACACGTGATTTTTATTATTATTTTTAAATCTCGGGTACTTTCCACCCTGTTAAATAGATACTCGCAAATCTGAGCATGGTCTTCTAAAAACCAGTGAGTTGGATGAAATTATCCCCCTCCCTGCCGTACACCAGTTGCCTCAGCCCAGCTGCCTGAGTTCCTGGCAGAGGAGAGGCCAGGGTCTGAGGGTGGTTTGTGTGCAAAGCACGCGCTTTCGTGCTGTTCTTTCCTCACTGCATTGGCATCTCTCTACTGTACATCATGGCAGGCGCCTAGTGCTGAATCCCAAAAAGAGAAAGGCCAGGGCTGAAGCCAAGCTAGGAAGCTTCTTTCCCCTCTTCTCCCCCAGGCAGAATAAAGCCTTGTCACTGCACTCCTGGACACAAGTAAAATTCCCTTAGTGAGGGAATCTTATTAAGTGTTGTAGGATTTATTGTCTCAGCAAACATCCATACTGTGTAACTGCAGAACATCTATAACTCAGCGCACTGATGTTCTTTCCTTGTACACTTGCCTAATCTAGCCTCACCTTATTTCCCCAACAATGTAATTTGGATTGTAAGCACCATGGGGCAGGGACCTGTTTTATTTAAATCATTACTTTATAATGAACTATGTGCATTGGTTGTGTGATGTGCATATTTAGAAACAGTAATATAGTTTTAGAAAGTTGTTGAGGAAATCTGTAATTACTTTCTGGGGAAGGTGGTGCACACTGGACATGCTCAGTATTAAGAGATACACAGAAGTTTGTTCCTGTTTTCAAAATATCTGAATTTGCCCTGTTAGCAACCCCTGTTAGCAACTGTGAATGGAAGCACTTTTTGTTTTGCTTTGTTTTTTTGGGAAAATGTTTGCACATTCCCAACCTTTTGATCATCTTTGAAAAATATTTTTCTCTGTGTGTCTCTCTCTCTGTGTGGCTATAGATATGTATTGCATTTAAATGCACTTTGAAATGCACATTTTTCAACATAAATATGCATCTTGATGCGCTAGTCAATGCGGAAAGTTCGCCTTTTGGAGAAAATGTGTCTAAAGACATGTGCCTTTCCCACTCAAGCAAAATGAGAAACATTTTGCAAACTAAAATGGGGGCAAGCCAAACTGTGCTTCTAGGTAAAATTCAGAGAATCTGAGCGTGCTCAGCCATCCTAGATTCTCTCATCTCTGGTTTTATTGCACATACTTCCCAGCTGAACCCTAGCTGTGAAAACAAGCTAGGTCTGATCACCCCTTCAGTAGGTTCACACAAATGCATCGACTTTTCTGTTCCTGTATTCGGGCCAAAATCCAAATTCCCATGCTGGAGGCTTTCAAGAATGCTGTGGGGCTTCTGCAGCCTCCCCTTCCGGTTGCAAGGCCTCGTATAACATGAGGATTTGCTGGTTGGAGCAGGAGTCCTGCGGAATGGAATCCTCCACAGGGCTAAAGAAGCTGCCATCCAAAAATGCCCTGGTCCATATGCCAGCATTCTTGGATGCTTGCGCAGAAAAGGTGAGGCCCCACCCAAAGAGAGTGTGCGTTGCCCCAGTGAGAACTGAAGAGCGCACTGGGAAAACGGCACCACTGAGGCAGAAAGGCATATGTTGCCCTAGTGGCAGATGGGTGGCGGGAAGAAGGAGCTGGGGAGAAGGGTGTTTGCCCACAGGCTGCCCTGCGCTCCCCATGCACCCCTGCTCCCTTCGGTGTGGCGGAGGACACTGTGCCACTGTCGGTGCCGAAGAAAGGCTGCGCGGTCAGCCCAGGTCTCTTGTGCAATGGGATGGAGCGCCATCTTGGTCCTTGTCTCAAGAAGCAAGATGGTGCGCCATCCCAATAGGACAACCCTGTGGGAAGGCCACCAATTCCATCCCCTAAAATCTTCCATGACAGGGAACTGGCTGAGAGTACCCAGGATATTGCAAGAAAGAATCAAATAAAAGAAGTTCAGGTGAGATGTGGCTAGTGAATTTCAGGAATTGCCTCCCCACCCCCCCACCCCGAGTCTGTAGATCATGAAAATGGGTGTAACAGAAGAGAAAGAGAAATGTTCATGGACTGATGGGGGCTTTCTAGAGGTAGAAGGATGTATGCAAGAAAGATGGAAAAGGAGATTAAAATTGCAATCCTGTGCACAGTTGCCTGGGAATAAGCCCCATTGCAGTCAGTGCGGCTTACATCTGAGTAGGCCTACATAAGATTTACTGTAAGGGTACAATTCTAGGCATTTTCAGACGGAAAAGGGGGTTTGCAGTTCTCAGGATTCCCTTCCAGCTGAAGTTTGCACGCTGAGCAAGTGCGACGGCATCGAGGAGAGGAAACAAATTAAGCAAAGAGAGAGAGAAGCTGTAGCTGCAGCCGCGGAGGAAGGGAGCAGCAGCAGTTGTCCCTCTGGACCTCTGACATAATCCTTGCTTAACTTGAGTAAAAAAAGATTCTTACCTCACCATTGTAAAAACACACAGGTTGTTATGAGTGTCTCGATATCACGGCAAACCCGGGCAAGAACAGTGGTGAGCAGAGAGCTGGACCAGATCGACTAATTCCAATGGACTCTCCCTTTTCTTTGCAGACCACAGATGATATCCTGGTGGCCTCAGCTGAATGTCCCAGCGATGATGAGGACATCGATCCCTGTGAGCCGAGCTCAGGTGGGTTAGGTTAGTCAACTTTTCTATTACTTTCTTTTTGTTTTGATTCTTTGCATGCAGCAGTGACAAGGCGAGGCACTTTCTGCCTTCATCCTGGCACTGGAGAAAAGATGAGCCTCATTCTCGTGGCAGCTCTGATGGGCCCCATGCCAGCCCTATAGGAGGGTAGGAAAACTCATACAAACCCTCAAGTTTACAAGTCAGAAAGACTGAAAGCTTCATTTCTCTGTCTTCTTTTTTCACAGCTCCATGGAGTCCATTAGGACTGGAAAACTAGGGACTGTGTGGGGAGGCCCTAGGGTGATTTTGTGGCAGCAATCCTATGGCCTCCTGGATAGCATCTAGGGGCACATAGGATTCTTTAGATTTTCAGATCTGAGGTCAGAGAGAGAGACCTGGGGAGTCATGTCCAGAACCCCTCTCCACCTCAAAACTGGTACTGCAAGAACTGCACCAGCAGCTTCTCTGAGGGCATAAAAGTAGCCTTCAAGAAGGGGAGAGAGGGCATTCTCAGGCATGGGGAAGAGTGTGGGATGATCAGGACACAGCATGTACTGGCAGCTCCTCAGCTTCTCTCCCTCCCAGCCCAAGGCTCCACAGCCAGAGGGCCAGAATTAGCCCAACTCTGTGCTATAACACTGGCACACAGTTGTACCCGAGGTGCAGTGAGCCAGAGGCTGGGGTGCAGGGAGTCAAGCTCCTCCCCCTCTGCACAGGAGGCCTGGGACCCTTTGAGCTGAGTTCAGAGACTTGTGGGCATGCCCCCTGAGCTGGGACAGTGTGTTTTTCACTGGGAGCTAGAAGTTTTGTTGTGATTCCCAGGGTCACTCACTAAAATGGGCTGGGCAGCAGGGGTAGGCGCTAAGAGTGAGCTCCACTGCTTTAAAAAGGGGTCTTAGAACAAGCCATCGATATGTGCATACTTCTTGCTCTGTGCACTTGGTTTATTAAGAGCCAGGTGGGTGAGTTACCTTTTTATATAAACAGCTGAACTTTGTGGAACAGGAAATCTTTTGGGCCTCTGTCAGAATTGATTGGGCCTTCCAATCCTTGAACCATGGTAGGCGAAAATCAGTTTGTCGGGAATGATTTTGCTGATGAAATTATTAAAGCACATATGGCTACTTCATAAAGCTTCAATAATTATTCCATTTTAGATAGTAGCAATTGTAGATTTCTTTCTATGTATATACTTTTTGGAACATCTCTTGTAACTGGTTCATCCCATGTCAGAGGACATCTCGGCACCTCTGTGCAGAACATCTTTGGAACGTATCCCTTCACAAAGCAGCAGCTCCATTTACAACACTGGTGTGATACAATGTGAAGCCGTGGAAAGGCACGGCCTTTAAAAGAGTGGGCTTCTGTGTCTTCAAAGGCAAATGCATGAAAAGGACACTCTTGCTATAATCAGCAGAAGATCCTATGAGGAATCCTGCTGGATCAGATAAAAGACCTATCTAAGCAGCCCCTGCTGGTTTCTCCTGCACTGCCAAGCTGCCAGATTCCCAGTCATTCAGCTAGAAAATGGGGCATATTCCATGTTTCCAGCAGAATATGCTGCTTCCCATGACAGTTCACCAAATTAAATGGTTAAATGGGCTAAGGGAATACAATTCTGCAGGGAACCATCAAGTCTGCTGAAAAACTGGGTGCACAGGGAGTCTGCAGCTCGTTTTCCAGGAGAATCACTGGGAACTGGTCTCCGCAACTACTCCAGGTGACCGAACGGCCACTTCCAGCAGAGGAGAGCAGCTTGTGGTGGGTGCTAGAGGCAATCAGGAGAGAGTGTGGCTCGCGGTCTCCCAAAGTTGTGTACCCCTGCACAGCTTGCTATATTTTGCTGGATGCAGGTGGGGATGGCACCACAAAGTTGTATTCCCATTATTTGGAGGAATGTGAAAGGGAGAGCAGGTCTGTCAGTGAGCATTTTTCATGCTATCTAAATGGGACATCCGGGCTGTGCAGCAATATTCATCTCAGGACTATTCCTGCAAGATGGGAGAAGGTGAGAAGAGGGCAGTGCTGGTGGACCTCCCAGAAATATCACATTGAATGCAGCTGGGAACAGAATGCTGTGCTAGGTGGTCCAGTGGGTGTTCAAGGAGAGGCTGGACATGCACATGGAAGGCATGTCATGAGTGGAGCTGGTTGGAGCTGGGGGTCAGACTAGATGGCCCTGGAGACCCCTTCTGACTCCCTCTGTTTCTGAGTTTCTATGTTCTTCCATATATTCTAACATGTGGGTGTGCAGAGATTCCCATACTTATGGGCTTGGCATCATGTGTTGCACTGGGGACCCGGGAGACGCAGGTTCTAATCCCTACTTGGCCATGGAGCTCCTTTGAGGCCACTCACTCTCTGCCTAACCTACCTTGCAGGGTAGTTGTGAGGATTAAGCTGTAGCAGAGAACTCTCTAAGCCACCTTGCAAGAGGAAGAAAGAGGGATCTAAAGACAATGTAACTGTGGTATGCAGCATTGCTTCCTATGTGGGGGATCTAGAATCCATGCATATTTCTAAACATGTAATCATGTTCTTTCCTGCTAAGGTCAGACTGGATGGCTCTTGGGGCCATTTCAGGAATCAAAAGTACCATTTAGGGTTGCCATTCTTCTGGAGAAGTAGACCAGCTTCTACAAAACTTGAAAACTCATCACCCTTCTGCCTTAACACAACTGACATAACCAAAAGTTTCATTTGGTATTTGCTCTGACTTCCTTTTGAGCCAACTGGACCACTGCTTTCATTTTGGAGCTTAGAAACATAGAAACACAGACAGTCAGAAGGGGTCTCCCAGGCCATCTAGTCTGACCCCCAGCTTCAGCCGGCTCTGCTCACAACATGCCATGTCCAGCCTATCTTTGAACAACCACACCAATGGGCCTCAACGACCTCTTGTGGAAGCCCATTCCACACCCTGGGGGTCCTAACTGTCAGGAAGTCCTTTCTGGCATCCACATTGAACCTTGGCTCCCTGAGCTTTGCTCCGTTGGAGCGCGTCCTGCCTTCCTCTGCAGCGGAGAACAGGTCTCTACCCACCTCCATGTGACACCCCCTCAAATACCTGTATGTTGCCAACATGTCCCCTCTGAGTCTCCTCTTCTCCAGGCTGAAAAAGACCCAGTTCCCTCAGTCTCGCCTCATTCGGCATTCCCTGCAAACCGGCCACCAACCTTGTGGCCCTACGCTGCACTGACTCCAACCTGGCTATATCCTTTCTGTAATGAGGGGCCCAAAACTGAACACAATACTCCAGTTGTGGGCACACCAGAGTCGTATAGAGTGATATTAATGCCTCTCTCGATCTAGAAGCCACACTTCTGGCTATGCAACCAAGGGTGGCGCTCGCCCTCTTGACCACCGCATCCCACTGCTGACTCACGTTTAGCCTGCAGTCGACCAGCACCCTGAGGTCCCTTTCACAAGTGCTGCTCTCCAGCCACTTGTCCCCTAACCTGTACTTGCTTGTCACAGGCCACCATCCCGATGATTCCCCACTAATGGTTACCCTCTGCTTTCAGTCAGTCAACCATGCCCTAATCCACCGGACAGTGCTTTGGTGTATCCCAAAACTGCTCAGTTTCTCCACCAGGATATCATGGGGCACTTTGTCAAAGGCCTTGCTGAAATCCAGGTATACCACATCCACTGCATCCCCTCCATCTAGCCATCTCGG